GGATTAAGATAATCCCCTATCCAAATACAGATTTGGATTGGGATAACTCCTAATTAGGAGGTTTCTTAATCAAGAAGAAAAGAGGAGAAACCCAACAGAAACATATCAGATTTCGAACCAGGGTTTGTGTGAAAGAAATATCCCTGCGAATTGAGATTAGATCTCATTCATACTCCAGAGAGAAGAGAAGCAGTTCAGCCATCTTCGTCCCTGAAGTTCTCCTCCTGCCGCAGCCATTCCCTCTTGCAAGATTCGATCTTTGCAGCAATAGGAAGTCAAGAAATCAGTTCTTGACATCAGTCTTGTAGGAAAGACTGAAAAAGATTCGGTGTTCAAAGTTTCCAGAGGATTCTTGTGAAGGATCTAGTGTGTAGGACGTACCCTGCTGGTTCCGTTCCATCCACAACTGTGCCATCTTCAGCAGGAGCGGATCTTGGTTTCTTTTTTGGGCGTGAACACCAACTTTGGGAGATACTGCTTCTCCGGATCAGGTATATTCCTCCCTTTTACCTTTTTGGTTCAGATCTGATTCGATTGTGGTTCAAGTAAGATCCTTGAATATGGTATTCTAAATTTAGGGAATATGATTCCCAGTTGGAAGAAGGTAGGAAAATTTTTGAAATTCGCCCACCCATTCCGCAACCTTATTGGCGTCCACCAGATGGATCCTACCATTCTTTCAATATATATATATATATATATATATATTGTTTTATGGAAATATTTGCAAAGCGTTTTAATTCTTGGTATCCATCCGAATAGAGAGTGTGACATTATACCTCGTAGCTAGGGGAGAGATCATTCCCTATCGGACAATATTGTGATTATTATGGGTTGAGAGGTTAAGTGTAATAGATCATTATAGGGCTGATTACCTGATGGACTTTATCTTACTTAAGTCCATTATCCTTGGGTTTTCATAGGATGGCCGAATTGAATGATCATTTACGTGTAAATGTTGGGCACATATTGTGCCCATATTGATGTGCTTAGGGGTTCACTAYGTTTAGCAGAAAATTCGGATAATCCTTTTCATAGAGGCTGGGCTAGGATTTATGTGAGGTCATTATGGGGTCCCACGCCATAAAAATTAGTTCTAAGTTGGCCATTAAACATCTTGGGTCATGAGCCTTTAAAGGAAATGGGCCTAAGGCCTGTAATTAATGAGATCAAGTAAGCTGTCATATGAAAACTTAAGTTGTCATGTGCTCTAGGTCAAATCTGGGTTTGGAAATGGGTATGGAGCACCCATCCTCTTAAGAGGATAAAGCTTATCTCTTAATTGAGTCTAAATCCATATTAGATTTGGATAATCTCTTAATGTGATTAGGAGAGTGCTCCATAAGGAGATAAAAGAAGAAGAGGGCAAATTGAACTAGAAGACCATTCTCTCTTGTTCTCTTTTGTCTTCCAAGAAACCCTATCACGACCTAAGCTTTTAAGGACTGATAGAGATTTGTTTTCTTTTGATGTTTGCAAGAAAAATTCAAAGGAATTTCAGGGTCACCTTCCCCAATTCGATCCAAGCAGTTGGGTTACAATTTTGTTGAAAACTATGTTGTTGAATCCGCTTCACGTATACATTGTGCCGTATTCAGTGGAGGCTGGTTTTAGGACTAATTTGGGCGTGAACTTTCAACTTGGGATCTGCGTTTGTAGTATCTGTATTAGGTATAAATCTTACTCTTTGTTTGATTTCAAATCTGTTCCGATTTAGTGCAAGATTGATCATGAAAAATACAGTTTTTCAAAACATAGGAAATTCAATTTGTAGAAGGAATAGGAAATTTTTGAAATTTCACCCATCCATCTAACATTGTTCGACAATCCATATAATGGATCCTAAACCTTCCAACATTTTTCTTGTTGAAACTTGAATAAAATTGAGAATTAGGGATTACCGAACAAGAGAGTATGTATGTGAGAGGATAAAAATTGGTGTAATGAGAACAAGGGAAGGTAAGAGTATCTATAGGAGTTAAAAATAATTTAATTAACCAAAATGCCTTTAAAACTATCCATTTCATTGTTGTTAAGATAAGTATTTTGATCTTTCAAAAAGTTAATTATAATTTTACTCAGTTGCCCTCAAATTTTCTGTTATATAGCATAGCTGTTGGGAGGCATTTGCGCTCTTCTTTGCCCCAAAAAATGTGCAAAATATAAGGGAAAAATCCTAAAAATTTGAAGGAAAAAATTCTTAAACTATCCCTAAGGTTTAGAAAATTGACTAAGTATATCCCTACTGTTTACATATTGTTTTAAAGTACCTTCAAGTTTTATAACAATTGTCTAAGACCTCCCTTACCATTAATTTTCTATCTCACTTTTTTCACATGTGACATCACGTGACAGATAAATATTTTAAAATTCCTAAAATACCCTTTTATGATTCCATTCCATTCTCTTATCGTCTTTGATTTCAATTCTGATTCCGTCTTCGTTTATGTCTCGGGCTCCAACTCCAACTCCAACTCTGTCTCTAATTCCAATTCTGATTCCGTCTTCATCTACCTCTCCAGCTCCAACTTCGTCTTCGTCTTTCTCTTTGACTCCAATTCTGACTTTGACTCTGCAATTTCCATAAGAACATCACACAAGCCATTAAGCTTCCAAGTACTGTGGCATCAACGACAAAAGAACAAATAATCCTTCATCGCCATTATCAGTGTTCTTCCATGCTCCCATCCTTTGTGAAACCATGCAGCTTACCAAGTTTTCATTCTCCATCTCCGATTCCTCCTATCAACAAGATCAACACCATCGTCACCGCCTACAAGGTCCCACTTCACTCTGTGCAATGAACTAGGAGGCATTTCGCAAATTCTTGAAGCAGCAACGGTTGTAGATGGGAGGGTCAGAGAGATAGTTGTAGCGGCAATGGTGAGGTATCAATAAAGTTAACAAGAAGGAAGGAGCAACCGATTTGGTTAAGTTGAAGAGTTTCTTTTGAATAACAGTTGTATCATACTAAGCTTCATCATCTCTGTCGCTTTGAACAGCTTCAACTACAATGCCTCGCCCCCCTCCTGTGAGAGAGAGTGATGGAGATTCGGGCATTTGTAGAGGCGGTTCTCGACTGACAATACCTTTAGAGAAGAAGACTGAATTGACCGGTGAGTAGAAGTCGCAGCGTCGCCGATGTGGTATTACACTCACTGAAACAGGGGTGGTGAGGTCGATGGGGGGAAGAAGAATAAGAAGAAAAGTAGGAAGAAAGAGAGAGAGAGAGAGAGAGAGAGAGAGGGGAGATAGAGAGAGGGAAGAAAAATAGAAATGAAAAGAAATCAAGTTGGGTTCGAGGCTTTTCCGTCGATTGGAAAAGATGAACGGAGAAGCTCATCCTTGTTCTTGTTCAGTAGATGTCAATTATCAATTGTCAAAAACAGTAGGTATACTTTAAGACAGTACTGAAACAATAGGGGTATAATTAGTTGATTTACTAAAATTTTAGTAGTTTAAAGAATTTGCCCAAAATTGAAATATAGCCTGACCCCCACCCCAAGTAGGGGTGATCATTATTTGATTAAAATGGAAATATCAAACCGAAAATTTTGGTTTTGGTTTTTAAGAATTTTGGTTTCGGTTTTGAGAGTTAGAAATTCGGTTAACTAAAAAAACCAAAATTCATTATAATACAACATATAATATATAATATATAATCTATAATATATATTATAGGTTACAATATTTATATATTAGTTAAATTCGATTTTTAACCAAAATGAACCAAAAATCTTGATTTCGATTATTTTGGTTTTAATTTTTTTTTATTTCGATTTTTAATCAAAATGAACCAAAAATTTTGATTTCGGTTATTTTGGCTTTCATTTTTTTTATTTCGATTTTTAATCAAAATGAACCAAAAATTTTGATTTCGGTTATTTTGGCTTTCATTTTTTTTATTTCGATTTTTAATCAAAATGAACCAAAAATTTTGATTTCGGTTATTTTGGCTTTCATTTTTTTTATTTCGATTTTTAAAATTTCGATTTATTCGCCATTGTGCCTTGCTGGGCTGCGGACCGTCTTAGCACAACCCACTTCTTTGTATTATTGTATCTTATTGGCCCCGCAGGCCTCAAAATCCAATCCCGAATGCCACAGTGGTATAGACCGGGTCTGACATGGCCCGATTCGTGTCCTGCTGGCCCATGCCACACACGGTCGGGCCGGCCCACTTTGCATCTCTAATATGCAAATAACAATTTGATAGTTTCATCTCCCCCAACGCAAAAGAGACGGGAGGAAACTTTCCATTTTTGAAAGGGTAAGTTGGGTAACTACCAACTAGCCGTTGTGAGGACAACAAGTCAGTTCATGCCCATGCCTTAACGTTCAAAAATTTCGAATACCGATGATCATTATACGTCCATTTCCTTTTCCTGGCGAATACCTTTTTTAAATACTCTCAGATCTCTTGCTCTCTTGTTCCTCTCTCTCTCTCTCTCTCGCTCGCTCGCTCGCTCGATTAGCTCTCTCGATATTCTCCGAGAAAGAAGATCTAGACTCTCATCGTTGTCTTCTTCTCTCGGAATCTTGTATTGATTTCTCTATCTCTATTTCTCCGTCCGTATAATAAGGTGAAGATGACTACCGAAACTCAGGGCTACACAAATAATTCTCCTGCGATCGCTCCTCCCGTCCCCTCCTCGAAACAGCCGGTTCCCGTTGCCAAGAGCGTTGACACCCAGTCTGTTTTGAAGAGGTACATCGTATTCCTAATCGTGTTCTCTTGATCGGGTTGTTTTTCGTGTATCTTTAAGGTTTCAATATTGTGGCGTCTCTAATTAGGGTTTCTTTCACTAATTCATATTATTATGGTACTCTTTTATTTCTCCCTTTTCGCTACACAATATTTTCTTAGCCCTTATGGGGAGTCTAAGTTGATTTGGATCTTCTTAAATTTCGAATTTGATATTCAGTTGCGTTCCTTTTATTTAAATTTCTGACGTTGGTTTCTTTCTGTTCTTTTTGTTGATTCATGGGAACAGATTGCAGTCCGAACTGATGGCCCTAATGGTAAGAATATGAACCAGGATTTTTAGAATTTCAAAGCCCTAAAAATCTTTTTCTGTTTTCTTCATCGACTTCTATAATTCAGCTTTCATCTAATACTGGATTTTGACCATTCTGTGTATTAAATTTTACTCAGATGAGTGGAGATCCTGGTATATCTGCTTTTCCAGAGGAAGACAACATATTCTGTTGGAAAGGAACCATCTGTGGAAGCAAAGATACTGTTTTTGAAGGCACAGAGTACAAGCTCTCCCTCTCCTTTCCTGCTGATTACCCTTTCAAGCCTCCAAAGGTTAAATTTGAAACCAGTTGCTTCCATCCTAATGTGGACGTTTATGGAAACATTTGCTTGGACATCCTTCAGGTACCTATGGAAACATTTCAGTCTGTAACAAACGAGCTTTTTTGCTTAAATTGATTATTTTTTTTAGTGAATTTAATCTAACAATTTTTGGGGATAACAGGATAAATGGTCATCTGCATATGATGTGAGGACCATTCTGCTTTCAATCCAGAGTCTACTTGGAGGTATTTGTCGCATTTTAATATGAATCTTGTTCAAATCAAAATTTCATTTGTACTGAACTTATGTTATTACTTTGTTGGTTCAGAACCAAATACAAGTTCACCTCTGAATACCCAAGCAGCTGCACTTTGGAGCAACCAAGAAGGTATAAACGTTAATTTAAGGGGGTGGCAAATAATGGGTTTTCATTCCTTTTCTATGAAAAAGATCTAGCGTCTTTACTTGTATTTCTTGTCTGTTTTGCAGAATACAGAAAAATGGTAGAGAAATTATACAAACCTGCTGCTTAATTTGAGTTTCCAAATTTTCCCAGTTGAGTGTACAATATATTCATTTGAAGGGATAAAAGAGACTGTTTTAGTTTGTCTAGGTTCTTTCTTTTCTCTCACAAAGCGATTGTTGTCACCAATTTATATTTTAAAAGTTTGGGGGTGGCTCCCTTGCTGTGTGAAATTTGTCCAATTTGGAATTAAAGGCATTTTTTACTCTCTCTCTCTCTCTCATAGATGTCATCAGTTTATATAAAGTTTGGGGGTTCCCTTGCTAAAGAGATTGTTGTCATCAATTTATATTGAAAGTTTGGGGGCTCCCTTGCTCGAAATTTGTCCAATTTGGAATTAAAGGCATTCTCTCTCATGGGTGGCAACGGGGCGAATTTGGGAGAGTTCGGCTTCAGTCAGGGCAAGAGCCCATTCAAGCAGCCTCTACTGCCATGTATTGAGAGAATATTTCTGTACTTGTATAGTTGTGTGCTAATGGAGAGATATTCTCAATGCGAAATTGCAAAAGGCTGTTAGAACGGTGTGGGCAGGTTTGCTCTGATAGAAGCCAATGTCAGTTTGGGAAAGGTTTTGTAAATTCTAGACCCTGCTTTACCTAACCTCCCAATACCTCATACTTACCCTCTGAACTTCATAAGTTGCTGATACTTCTGATTTTATGGAGCATGAACTTTTATATCTTTGCAACAAAGTATACCGTCTGGCCTCTACTCTCCCTAGCAACCACTCCAATTGAACAATTCCCATTACTCCTAGAAGCATTAAAATTTATCTTGATTTCATCTTTCTTTCCATTTCAACTCTAATATAATCTGATAGGTCACTTGCTTAACAATTAACTTTGGTGGCGACCACCAAGAGTTTTGAAAGATCCTATTATTTCTACTTTCCCCATGTATGCTACAACATCATGCCTATATTTTCATACATCAAATGTTAAGGAGTTTGAAGATTTAAATCTTCTTACTTCTATTATTCCAACAAACTCTCATTCTCATTCGGTTTAGGGATCATTTGATCCAAGGTAAGCCACACTTGCTTTGCAATCGGGGTGCTTAACAAAAAGATATGGGGTTGTTTGGCAAGTCCTTCTAGATAGATCTTTCAACAGCCCAATAGATGAGAAAATGCACTGAGTTTTGGGGTCTTGTCTTTTAAAGACCAAGAATGCTTGGCTTACGTCGTGGTATACCAGACTATACTTCATTTGAAGCTTCCGACTTTTTGATTTTATAGTCTTTCTACTGCTCATCTTTGGATCTTTCAGTCTATGTGATTCCGAATGGGAAAAGACCATTTTTTGGTCTTTTAAGCTTTTTGTAGACCGAAATTGCACTGAAAAGATTCACCAAACACCACCATGGTTAGTGTTTTTTGGATGATTCAGTTGTTTTCATCAAGCAATCGTTTAAAACATTATACATAGTACTTTTACTCTATTAAGCCAAAATATACAAATATTTCAATCCTAAAATATCAATACAACATTATTTAGAGAACTATTAGCTGGTTTAACAAAAAAACTGTGAGTCAGTCCACTAACCAATTTGCTAGTTAGACTCCAAAAACTGGGCAATTAGAAAAATTTGCCATAATTGGGCAACTCAATTGGTGAACTGATATCAATTTCAAGAAATTGGTTGTTTTTATTCATTTTTTAAACTCTTATACCAACTTCTAGATCATGTCACAACTTTGTGCTCAATGGTTGGATTAGGGAGATCTTTTTTTTTCAGATTTGAGTAACTTTTCACAAAATATATGCATTACCAAGGGGCCAAAGGTGCCTTACCTATTTTTACTAGGGTCCATGAAAAACCGAACAAAATCGAGAATGGTTCAGTTTTCGATTAACCTACAAAAAAATTGGCAGTTAACTGAACCGACTAGTATATATATTTATATGTATATTTTATATATATTTTTAATATATGTCACATATTTTTTATATATTATATATAAATATATATTCATTATATATATAAATATATACTTATATTATATTTATAATAATCTATTTATAAATATATTATATATATTATATATTTTTAAAATATTTATAATATATTATACATCATTTATTATTTATAATATAATATTATACACATATTTATATAATAAATATTATAAATATAAAAAACGAAAAATCGTAGAACCGAATCAGTCAAAAACTGAAACCAGCGGACCAGTTAATCGATGATACCAGTTCGGTTTTAGTTTGGAGAAGTGGAAAAATTGGTACCACCGATTCGGTTTGCAAAATATGCCCATGGTTCGGTTAACCGAATCGTGGACACCCCTAATTCTTACCAAAAAATGCATTATTTGGTCTTAAATCTTGAATTTCATTATACACAATTAAAACTAATTATGTATATAATTAATATAATATTATGTATATATTATATATATTATTTTTAGGATGATGTTTGTTAATGGGTTAATTGATTTTGATTCAGGTGATTGAACTCACCCACCACTAGACTTGCTTACTGGTCAAGTTCAAGACAGGCTTTACCTCTATATTAATAAAGAATGTTTAGGCGTCAACCTGAGCTCAACCCAATCATCGGGCATTGGTCTTGAGCCTAAGACCAACCCTGTATAAAGCCTAAAGCCTGACCAAGAAGTTGGGCAAGAAGATTTTTTATTTTTATTCAATTTTTATATTAAATGATCTCAAAACCCAAAAAACACTACAAGAAAATCAGTCTAAGCCGGCGGTCTTCAGTCCGCCCCCTAAACCTCTGTTGGCTTAGACATAAAAGGCCGTCACCCTTGAAGGTTGGTTCGAAATGGTTCAATTAACTCTAAAGCGGCGGTACGTCAGAACTGCCAGCTTAGCATTAATAAAGGTGGTGGTTTTGACCGTCGCCTTAGGTCAATCAATTCTACCTACCCTTTTAGGTCACGGTCTGAACCACCAGCTTAGGTTCTATTTGACCGCCGCCTTATAGCTTGTTTATGGCTAAGCCGACAGTTGCATGACCGCCAGTTTTGATATTTTTTTATTTTTTATACTAGCTTAATTCCATGAAAAATCTCAATTTAATACCTGTTTAATACAAATCTCATGACAATTGATACTACGATACATAAAAAAAAATTAAATAAAAAATGTAATTATAACAAAAATCTATTAATTGAATTATTTATTATTATAATATCCAAAACAAATTGTTTAAATACAATATCCAATTGATTTATAAAAGTATAAGGAATTAAAAAAATCCAATTTCCAAGATAATGTAGCATGTCTTCCAATGCAAATTCATTTAACATAATGGTTGAACCTGCAAATCATACAATATAAACTGTTAAGGAATAAATTATGTTTATGGTCAATGCTTAAAATACAAGATCAAGTAAAATGAAGTGAAAATATTTAAAAGAATATTGTTTTCTCACTTTGTAAGGGTCGACTTTGGCCAACTTGGGTGTTTGACACTTGAGCTGCAAATGAATGTCGATTTAAATTATTTATAAGATCAAAATTTTGCAACTGATGACAATTCAAAAAAATGCAAATAATAAACAATTTATAAAATGAATTGCATGCATAGAATGGGACATGTTAATGAATTGAGGTGTTAAATCATCCTTGAAAATTTGACTAGAGCATTAAGCATAAAAAATTCTATTATCTGTCTTTCTAAGTGGATCCTACAAATGTCAGTACAGATAGGGGATGCAGTTAGAGTTGAAATCCTAGCAGTATTACAAGGGTTGAAGCTGGCCAAGAGAACCAAACTAACCAATATCATCATTGAAGGGGGTTTTAAAGTGGTGGTAGAGTGGGTTTGTAATGAAGATGTCCTTGGTAGTATAGACACATCATGAGGGAGATTCCTGAACTAAAAAGGGACAGGTTTGTTGCTGTTCAGTGGACTTATAGAACTACAATGGGCTGGCAGATGGTTAGCAAGGCAAGGGGTTGAAAGAGAGAATTTGGTTATGGGGGAATGGTTACAAAACTCATTCTCTGAGCCATTACACAACTCATTCAAAGGGGTCCAACAAATTGGTTACCCAATTTAAAGAAACTCCACTAAATTAGAACCAGGTCCTCAGACCAAGCCCTTTCAAAATTTTAACATATGCCTAACCTAGGCTTACCCAAATTGCACTCGTTAGGCATTCAGTTCTATGACATTCCTCCACCCACATCATTCCATTAACCTCCATTTCTATTCTCCAAACTGTCATTCCACAAGCTTCCTTCATTCTGTAAATCTTCTAATACCATACCCCAATAACTTATACACATGCAGAGATTGTATAGAAATTTTATATACACTTATAGTAGACTCCAACTGCTACTGCTAACACACTAAGCAAAGTGCAAAAAGGATTAACAACACTAGGCTCAATGCAACTTTATTTGCACTAGTACAGATAAATAGGAGTGAAAATTCTGGTTCACTTTTACTCCAGGTTTTACTTAACTTTGGTAGGACTTATTGTATTTCATTTATATATGAAAAAAAAGGAAACACAGTAAAACTTCAAACAAAAGTAAACTAGAATTTTCAATCAAGCTCATTTGGACTCCCATACTTCATTTCCAGTGCAAATGAAATTGCACTACAAACAAACATGGCCTTAGGTACTTTTTATTGATATTGAGGTGGCAAGGTCTAAGGGAGGTGTTTTCGTTGTTCAGCATAAATACACCCTTGATCTTCTTAAAATCAGTTTAAAAAAAAAAACACAGGAAATTTGTTTCCAAGATAGAAGATACACTATGGGAAAAAAAGTATCTGAAATTGAATGATCAATAAGGTGAGCACTACAGGATGTCAGTATGTTTCAACACATGGTACAGAAGCAAATCTATCTCGATCCAAACCAGATATTTCATATGACATTGGAGTAGTTATCCAATTAAGTTGTTCTCCAAGGTCTAGTCATCTCAATATTTTGAAAGAATAGACACATGAATGCTGAGGCCAATTCATATTAGATTGAGGAGGCTTAGTTACTAACAAAAGGTCAACCTCTAGGCATTCTACATCAGTGGAAGGAAATCTAGCCTCTAGAAGAGTAACAAACAATCCGTGGTGGTTGTATCTACTTTTAAGGTAAAGTACATGGACCGGTGAGTTTCTCTGCTTGAAGGCATTTCTCCACAAACTTGAGTGTCCAATAGTATAAGCATTGCCCACAATCCAATTCAAAAAAGAGAGAATTGAACACATTGAAGTGGATAGGAATGTCACATAGCCTACGGAGGATCAGTTACCAAATATAACCAAGGTGATTGTAAAGTCCAATCTGCTTACTATTCCCAGCGAGTTGGGTATATATGACAATTATGCTCCAACCTAAGGGGGAGAGTTGCATGATGCATTTGAGACTACAAGTATAGGAATATAAAACACCTTAACAGGAGTATATTTTATAATTTAAATATATGTTTTTGAGTAAATAAAGAGGAATAGGAATCATGTAACCTATTATCTCCTTTCCTTAAACTGTTTTCCATCAACTTTATTCTCTTCATTTCTTCCAACTATGTCTCACATTACTTTACATTCTCATGATGTACATTCCCATAGTTTTTGTGAAGTAATAAAATGCACAATTTACCTTCTTGAAGAAAAAATTATGTAAGTGAACCAAATATGTGTGAATATGCATGTACTTGTCTATGTGTATGCACTCATAAGTATGTACACACATATGAATACACATAAATAGATGTATGAAACAAGAGTTATATGATGCATATAAGTTTTATCTAGATAAAAGGGCTTGTATGTATCTATGTTTTAGTGATGCCAAATTTGTCCATCAAAAAGTAATTCCTTGATATTTGCACCTAGGTAAGTACAGATCTTCACAGAGCCATTACAAGGAATATCCGATGTGCCAACAGGCAAGTATGGCTGCCCGGCACAAACAATCCGAGGGCTCCGTCCAACATCCACCCTCTTGTATTTCTCATGCTGTAGATACAAGTTTGTAACCAAAATATAATGCACCTAGTAAAGTCAACAATCTCTAAACAATGCCATCAGAAGTGAAACCTTACCATAGCATTTAATCCTTTACTGGTTAAGATATAGCAGGCATGTATGAGGCCATATAATAACTCTACTGCAGATTCAATCTCACTCTCACCTGTAAAATGTTTTCCCAAAGATAAAAAGATTCCTAATGCAAGGAACAGGTAATGTTTAGAGATGAGCAAAGACGCAATAAGTGGTACCAACGGTAGTGGTTCCACAGCAATTTCAAATGTTTAGAGATCATTACAGCCCACATGCACATTCTTAAGCCCAAAAGGCATCAAATTGCCCCATTATACCAAAAAAATGAAAAATGAAAAATCCGGATGTTGAAAAAAAGGATCATTTCCATTAATTCATAGCAAACCTGATGAATGACGATTTGGTCCGACCTAGTAAAAGGGGACATGTGAACATGACCTGATTAAGATGACAATTCAGCCTGACATGCCTAATCCGCAACAGATCGAGCTCAGATATTCAACCACCTCAGGACAAGGTCACCTCGAGACGAGATCACCTCGGTACAAGACCGCAACAGGATCACATCGACCCCAAGGCACTTCGGCATTCAATCCGGTTCGGAACTAAAACGCATCACCTCGGGGATACCAACTCAGACCACTATGTGATGATCCCGAAAATCCCTCCAACGGATTCCGAACCTCACGGGATTACGCCACGTAACGACAAGCCTTATCTCCTCTGCGCCTGGTTCGGGCAGAATTGATAAGCCTTATCAGTTGATAACATTATCCCCCAATTAAAGCAGAAACGGATCCCATCGTGACGAAGATCCTGGAACAAATCCACAAAACCTGTGAGGATTCAACTATATAAAGGCTCCAACCCCGATGGCTCAAGGTACACGTGATTTCTCTGCTCTCTAGCTCTCTACATTCTCAAAGCTATTTCAGCTCGCAACAGCTTACTAACTTAAGCATCGGAGCGACCTCACCGGGTTAACCACCCCGGGTTCTCTAATCTTATTTTGCAGATCCGCTTACCTCACCGTCCGACTGGAAACTAGATTATCCTCCAACAGGGAGCACTCAGATTGCACAACATCAAAACCATTGTAAGTTACTAACTTTATATAAGATTGAAGAAACATTGCTTAACTTGTTCCAACACCTAAAGATGATAAAGTGAAGAGGAGATTCGTGGAGAGGGTGAGTGAAAAAGATAAAAAAGAAAAATAGCTAGGGAAGATTGTATAGAAAAACCATACCACTCAAAGAATCATTATCCAAAATCATGTCCAATGCATGGTTTGGTCATAATAAGGAACTTGTCCTTGAAGTGCACACAAGTTGAAATCATCCTGTATATAGTCTTCATCAACTTCACAAAGGAGCTCATTTCCTTTAAGCCCACAACACCAAGAGATCCAAGATGACTCCTCTCCATTGGAACTACTAAGTTCTGTCTCCTCACTTTCTGTATTTGCTAGCTCTTCAAAGAAGCAAAGATAACAGATGAAACATGTTAAAAATTAGGATATGCTAATCATGACAAAAAAATAATCTAACAACTGCCTAAAGACAGGAATCATTGGATTGCTGAAAAGCATGTAGCATATAGTATTATGATTAATGAACTTCTGGTTTGTTTTTCGTAAAAATTATAGAACTATACATTTCTTTCCATTTGGTCATAAAAGAAAACTACAAAAAACAACTATTACAAATGCTGAATCTGAAGGTCTAAAATCCCATCCAAAGTCCATCTACAAATACTAACTGAAAGATGAGGTTTGGAAATAAAAGTTTTCTCCACAAATCATAAAATAAGTAATAAAAAATAAATTAAAGAAAGGTCATCTTATTTATTCAGAGGAATAAAGATATTCAGCAAAAACCAATAGGCAAATTTTCTTCATTTAATTTATAGGGACACCAGATAAGCCTTTTCAAATTCCCCCAAAATAACATAAATGAGATTGAAAAACTATAAAAATGTTATGGAGGAAGAAAAAAGAAAAGAAGCCTTTTTACCTAGCCAAATGAATCTAACCAACCAACCTTTTTCCCACATATTGCTTGGATCGGTGTAATTAATATATACTCTAATAAATTAACAATAGTGAGAAATAAATCCATAAAATAATAGAAATTGAAACAACTTAGGAAGCATTTTTATTTCATCAGAAGCAAAATTATCAGAGGGGCAAAAAACAAACAAACCTGGATCCCTCTAAGAACCTCGACACACTTCCTGACCTTGGGCGGTAGATTCTCCAGAACATCAAGCTGCTGTCCCACCAAATGTTGAAGCTTGTTCTGCATGGATCCTGTTATTACGCGATCTGACTACTCCTAGATGGAGGGCGATCTGGCTTCCAATCGAGTAGCGAGCTGGATCTATCTACAAGACAGTGGACCAGAGAACCCTGGGTGGCTAACCCGGCGAGGTCGCTTCGATGTCTAAGTTAATATGCTGTAAACGCGAGCTGAGCGCTTAAGAGCTTGAGAGCTTGAATGCTAGAAAGTAGAGCAATCACGCATACCTTTGCCTTGAGGTTCCTGTCTTTATATACTGGAGTAATTGTGGGTCTCACGAAAGAGCTCTGGGATCTCCGGGGTGTGGAGATAGGGTTCGCTCTGCTTCCGAAGGAGCAGTGTGTAGATAAGGCCTATCGTTTCACTTCCGACTCTAGCGGAGCTGGGATGAGTCCTCATCATGATCTCAGAAAAGTTGGGATTTGTTAGCTCATCGTGATCTCGAGAGATTCAGGTTCTGTTGGAGAGACCTCTGGAGTCGGTTACGTGGCGATTCGGGTTGTTAGCCTCGAGCTGATACTTTGATTCTTTAGTTTCGAACTAGATTGGATGCCGAGGTGAGTTTTGGGCCAAGGTGCTTGAATACCCGAGCTCAAATGTTGCGAACTAGGCTTGCTAGGCTGAGTTGTCATCCCTTAGTCAGGTCGCGTCCACGTGTCCCCTTCTCGCTAGGTCAGGCCAAATCACCCTTCATCAATTGCCCTCCACTCTCCGAGCTAGGGGTCTCGACCCGGTGCAGGGAATTCATGATGAGTCCAAGTGGATTTGGCACGAGGTCTAGGTGGCTTGATGGGCGAATCGTTGGTYGGACTTGTTCGACCGCCTGACTCAACTCAGGAATAAACCAGGTCACGTCTGAGTTACATGCGGACGTCACGCCGTTTTATAAACTCCGCGAACATCAAAACACCCACTAAATCGATTTCAACCTCGGGGTCGTGCAACCGATTTCCCTAGGAGTCGTTGTATCATGTTGATCTCGATCGTTGATCCCCGGATACACTAGCTATAAATAGGAGCCAAGGGTCTCATTTTCCTCGTCACAAGTCCGCAAATCCGTAATCTTTGAGGTCGCTTTCCTTTCTTCGATCTTCCTTTTGGCGAGTCTTCCTTTGCTTTTTCTTTTTGATTTCATGCCTTTTAGTATGTCTAGCTTTAGTTTTGATAGTCTCTTAGACGGGAGCGGTGAGTCTGCTCAGGTCGTGGATCCTCGTCCTACCGAGGAGGTTACTTCGGGCCAGGATGCGGTCCACGGTCCTCCCGAGGTAAACTTACCTTGGCGGGAGCGAGAGGCCTCAGGTAACCAGGCTTCCACCTCACATCGAGGTCGGCTGCCAGATAACTTCGGCCCGTCGACAATGACGGCAGATAGGCTCCTAACCCTAGTAGCTCGGTACAGATTCCCTAACAACTTTGTGTATAGCATCCCCTTAGGTAACTTCCCTTGGGATCACAGTCACGATGAGATCGTGATCTTCGAGGAGCAGCTCGTAGCTGGTCTTCGCCTTCCACTTCACCCTCTCATAGTCGAGATCGTAAAGTTTTTCAACATCACCATAGATCAGTTACACCTGAACTCTATCCGCAACGTCGTAGGCACCATTTCACTTTTCCACAATTACAACCTTCCCCTTGACCTCGACATTTTTTCTTCTATTCTTTCCATAAAGAAAAATTCATCTTGTGTTTTGCCCGAGCATAGGCGAACTTACTATCTGTCACCTTATCCTAGTTTCAAACTTTTGCACGAGCTCCCTAACAAGGTCCCAGCCTGAAAGAGGCGCTATTTCATAGTCCACAATACTGAGGGGTGGCCTTTCCCGACTCATTGGAGGGCAGCCATCCAAGACCCCGGTGTTAGATTGGACCTGAAGACAAGTGAGGCGCTCCGATCTTGGGCGGAGCTCAGCCTGAAGTTCGAAGACTTCGTGACTGAGGAGAAGCTCATGTAGGCCGGTCTAAGTCCTAGTAGGTCGTTGTTTGATGTACTTTCCCTCAGTTTTACTTTGGTACTGTATCTGACAGCTCGTTTTTTGTCGCAGATATCATGGACATCCCCGCTAACGAACACTTCGGGAGCATGAAGAAGGGGAAGAAGAAGAGAGCCACCAAGAAGGCTCGCGTTGAGCAGCCACCAGCCGTCGTTCCAGAGCCCGATCAGCCGTCAACTGCCGATCAGCCTCCTGTAATAGATCTGGTCGAAGATGACTCGGGCAAGCCCTCCCCACCCCGCATGCCCGAGGAGGCTATACCTTCGGAGCCCGTCCCAGCAGATGCTGCTTCTTCGGGTAGCGATGACGCAGGTTGGAATATTTTGACTCCGAAATTTGGCCTTCTCAAGAGCAAGGGCGCGGTATTTGCTGAGGAGGTCGCTAGTTGGGCTGAATTGCCAATTGCTTAGCTCGGATCCCAAGCGGCGACTCACTGCATGGTGGTAAGTTCTCGGACTTGTCTCTTTAAACTGTCTTGTACTTGGGTTTTTGGTATACTGACGCTTGTTTTCTTTCTCTTGGTAGGTGAATTCCACCATCCATGCCTTGGCTTATCAGTCCGAGGTGAACTTGAAGCGGGCCCTCGGAGCCGAGGAGTCTTCTCAGAAAGCTCACACCGAACTGAACTTAGCTCGTGTTGTTGCTTGTGGTGATTAAGAGAGAGAGAGATAGAGAAAGAGAAAGAGAGGTACAGATGATAGAAAGAAAAGCAAACTCAGTACTAGCAGCCGCCAGCCTTCTATTTATGTTAATCTTTATAAAAAAGACAAAATTACAAGTATGCCCCTGGCGGCATATCCTAGGATAGGAACAATAAGAAAAGAAAGAAAGGACTAGTAGCTGAAATTGTCCCACTAACATCAGTTACAAGGAACACTTAAGCCTTACAACACTCCCCCTCAAGTTGGGCTGAAGATGTCTATCATGCCCAACTTGTCACATAGCTCATTGTGTCGCGAACACGGAAGTCCTTTTGTGAGGACATCAGCAAGTTGTTCCTTGGAGTTGACATAAGGGATACAAATTTCCCTTTTTTCCAGTTTCTCTCTTATGAAGTGCTTATCCACCTCAACATGCTTAGTACTCTCATGTAGGACCGGGTTTCTGGCGATGTTTATTGCAGCCTTGTTGTCACAGTAAAGAGACATAGGATTATGAACAACAACTCCAAACTCACCTAGGAGGTTCTTTAGCCAAAGGACTTCAGCCACCCCATGTGTCATAGTTCTATACTCAGCTTCTGCACTTAATCTTGCTACCACACTTTGCTTCTTGCTCTTCCAAGTCACTAGATTTCCTCCCACAAATGTGCACTACCCACTAGTGGACTTTCTATCATCCATGGCTCCTGCCCAATCAGCATCTGTAAAGACTTCCACCTTTAGGTGATTGTGTTTACTGAATAGTAGGCCTTTTTCTGGATGTTTCTTCAGGTATCTAAGGACTCTCTCTACTGCCTCCATGTGTGGCTTCTTAGGAGAGTGAATAAACTGGCTCAGAACTCCAACTGAATAGGCAATATCTAGATGGGTCATGGATAGATAAATCAATTTTCCCACTAACCCTTGGAACTACTTTACATCTTTTAGAGGTTCACCAATAGTCACCTAGCTTTCCCACTAATTTGCCTGTATCCCGTAATAGATCAAGGGTGTATTTCCTTTGAGAGAAAAAGATACCTCTGTAATGATATCGTCTACATACACTATCAATATGGCAACCTACTCCTGACATCTCTTCACAAAAAGTGTATGATCAGACTGGCACTGTTGGAATCCCATCTCTTGAACTGCCATATGAAACTTACTGAACCAGGCTCTGGGAGACTATTTTAAGCCGTAGAGAGACTTTCGTAGCTTGCACACCTTGTTTTCACTTCCCTTGGTAGAGAATCCAAGAGGTTGAACCAGGTATACCTCTTCTTCCAAGTCACCATTTAGGAAGGCATTCTTTATGTCCAGTTGATGCAATTCCCAGTCAAAGTTAGCAGCTAAGATTAGGAGAACCCTAATCAAGTTCATCTTAGCCATCGGAGCAAAAGTCTCATCATAGTCAACTCTATATACCTGTGTGTACCCTTTGGCTACTAGTCTTGCTTTGTACCTTTCAACTGTTCCATCTGCCTTGTGCTTAACTGTGAACACCCATTTGCACCCCACGGGTTCTTTCCCCTCTAGAGGATCCACCAATTCCCAAGTCTGATTTTTGTGGAGGGCATCAATCTCCTCCTTCATGTCATCTATCCATTCAGGGTATTTTAAGGCTTCTGCAACATTCTTGGGAACAGGGATGCAGTCAACTGCCAATAGGAAGGCTTAGTACGAGGGAGAGATGTGGTCATAGGAAACAAAGTGGGTAATGGGGTGTTTGGTAGTGCAAGACCTGACTCCCTTTCGTTGAGCAATAGGGATGTCTAGGTTGTCAACAGTGGAAGTAGGGTTAGGGGTTGAACTTACCTCTTGGGATTCTGATGATGTCAGTTGCTCAGTGTTTGGCTGCTCTACATTTCTATCACACTGCTGATCTCTCCGACGAGTACGTTGGATGACACGGAAGGGAGTGAGGTCCAGAATAGAAGGAAGAGACATTTGAACCTGCTTCTCCTCTTCCACACTACGGCTCTCTCCCTGAGGAGAAGGAGGGAAGAACGACTCAGACTCAAAGAATGACACATCCACACACACAAAATATTTACGACTAAATGGATCAAAACATCGATACCCCTTTTGAGAGGATGGGTACCCCAGGAAGACACAAGGAATGGACCGAGGGTTTAACTTACCTCTGGATGGAGACAAATCATGGACAAAGGCCCGACAACCAAAGACTCTCATTGGGATGGAAAATAAAGGTGATTGAGGGTATAGTAACTGATGAGGGGCCATGTAATTCAATACTCTGGAGGGCATGCAATTGATGACATACGCAATTGTAAGTATAGAATCCACCCAAAACCTTTTTGGGACATTCATGTGTAACATCATCCCGCGGGCTACCTCAAGGAGGTGTCTGTTT